TAAAGTCCCTTCAATAGGTGTTTTGGGTGTATAGCATAAATAGGATCAGGAAATTTATAGGTAAGTAAATATATCTAAAATTATTTGCATCCTTTGAATTACAAAATGTGTCAAACATGAAAACTATTTCTGACACATTCAGATCTGTATTTTTTTTATTTTAAAGTTCACAACCAAAAGAAATGACATATACTAATAGTTTAGCGCAGCGGTTCTTAACCTGGTTTGTACGTACCTCTGGGGGCACGCAGAGGTCTTCCAGGGGTACGTCAACTCATCTAGATATTTGCCTAATTTTACAACAGGCTACATAAAAAGCACTAGCGAACTCAGTACAAACTAAAATTTCATACAGACAATGACTTGTTTTACTGCTCTATATATTAAATGATAATGTAATTCACTGTACTACACACAAGTTCGATGTCATTTACTGATGTGTGCAAGCACATTAATGACGTTGAAGTTGTCATGGTCTGTATGTAGTTGTGATGGTAAAAATGGATAGATTTTTAAAATGAGGAGCAGGAAGCAACGGTAATGACAACAGTGAACATTGTAAGAAATTGAAAATGACTGGGAAAAAAAAACATTGTCAGTTCTGAGAGAAATATATTGCTTTGGATTCACATCTACAAATAGTGATCCAACTCAAATGTTGTGTTTCCTTTTCAGAGAAACTCTATCAAATAACACTATGAAGCCGGCACATTTGCAACAACATTTGAAGACAAAAACACCCTGTGCATGTGGGTAAGCCAGTAGAAGTTTTTTCAAAGAAAGCTTTCCGAGTTCCAGACTTCCCAGCTTAAAATGAAAACAGCTTCAACTACTTCTACAAAAGCACCTGAAGCTTGATATGTAGATCATTTGGCCCACTTGACATCTGAGTTCAAGTCATATTTCCCCAACACTCAACACAACTCAGCTCAACTCGACTGGGTATGAAACCCATTCATTTTGTCAGATGTTAGCAGCAATAATCTCTCTGCCACTTAGCAAGAAAATCTTGAGCTGTCCTCAGACCGTGGTCTGCAAATGAAGTTTAATGACTCCACACTAACGCAGCTCTGGTGTTTAGTACAGAAAGCATACACTGACCTTGGGAACCATGCTTTGGATGTTTGTTCTCTTTTGGGTCAACATTTCTTTGTGAAGTCTCATTTTTTTCTATGCCTGGCATCAAGACAAAGAGCAGAAAGAGACTCAATGTGGGGAAAAACCTAATTGTTGCTGTCGCTTCACTGCCTCCCAGAATGACAAGGCTCACAAGTGAAAAACAAGCTCAAGTATCGCACTGAAATGTAAGTACAATATCTATATTACAACTGATTTATTTTATATGGTAAAAATGAGAATGTAAGCAATGTTTCAGTAATAGTGTGCTATGACTCTTTTGTATTTTTATGTCTGATTTTGTAAGCAAGTAGTTTAAGTGAGGTGAAACTTGGGGTGTGCAAGACAAATCAGACTCCTGAAAGGGGTACAGTAGTCTGGAAAGGTTGAGAACCACTGGTTTAGTATATGGATCTTTTATGTTAAGGGTCTATGACCTTTATTCATACTATGTACCGTACTCTGCACTGTCACTGGGTGAAATTTCTGGCCTGTGTTATGCAAGAGGTCAGATTAGATGATGACAATGGTCCTATATGGATTTAAAATCTATACAGCTATGCATAATCCCCTTTTCTTCAGTAGGACTACTGCAGAGCAATGTGAGTAAAGGCAGCAGAATCAAGTTCAGAAGATTTATTTTTATTTCTTTAAGTACTCTGAAAGCATTATGTATTGACACATGCACTTCTAAAATGCACATTTAGCAACCGCTTTTTCTGTCAAAACACCTTCTTCTGCTCCAGAAATTTAACATGATAAAAACTAGTTACCTGATACATATGCTAGCGCTGCTTTGTGTGTTTATGATAATCTACATCTGAAGTACACACATGCCATTTTCTATCTTTCTGGGAGTTTCCTTTTGAAGAAAAGCCTCAAGGATAAGTCAGGTTATAAAAGCACACACAAAGTTTGTTTAGCAATTCCTGGGGACTCCAGGTAGAGCATTGAACAGTAAGTCACTTTTTATCTTATTTAGTGAAAGCTGCTGCTGAGACACTGTCATTGTGTGGCACAGTTACAGATTTATAATGAGAAAAAGCAATCAATACAAAGCTTTGCCTATCACATGGATTAGCCAGTCTAAGCTTTTCCCTTTTGACTTGTTCTAGATGCTTGGAATTTGGATTCTTGCACTTTTTCTGCTTGGTACAGCCAGAGGTGAGGCATAGGATTTATGTAGATTTC